ACACTGGTCTTACAGTCTGAAAAAAACCTCCTCGGTTTTGACATTTATGTGAGGGCAAGCATTGTCTCCTTAATACTTGTTTGGCCGTACACGCCTGTAATGTCGAGAATTGGAATTTAATCTCCTCACTGAAAGCTGTATGGCAATTTATCGAGTTCTGATTCGCGCGAATAATGCCATCGGCGTGCAGCAACATCTATCATTTTGTTTTGGCGGTGGCAGGTCGCCCAAACTGCTGCTAATCATGCAGATACGTTGCTCTTCTTTCTGAGGCCCATTTTTTTAAATATGTTCTTAAGACGCGTATTCGGCTTTACTTGAGAGGTGGCAAACAAAATACAACAAATTAAAATAAGATAAGAAAAACACTCTAACCTCTTGGTACGTGCCTAATACACTTGCAAGTCAAGCTCACGATACTTGATTCCCGACTAATTACAATACGTTATCAGGATGAGAGTTCCACCGAGAAATGAATAATTGAAGAGGTGAAAATTTCTAGAGGTTCGTTTTGGTGTGACCAATTAAACTTATCAGAATTGGCACTGCGTGGGGTATGTGGTATGCGACGGGATCATATAAACGTCTCTTTGATGGGCAATGCTAATACAAAGGGCGTAATGAGTCCAGTCTGTATTTGTCCCTTCTTCCTGCGAGAACATCGTTATCGAGATCGTTCTTTATTAGTGTAATGCTTGTGCACGAGTAATATTTTTGAATGAGGATTGTGTCATTGTTTTGGGCTAATTTTTTTTAATTAGATGAGACATATCAGGGTTCTTTTATTACATATGCATTATCCAGCTCGCGGTCCACAAGGGTGGTGCGGGCCAAAAGTTTTGTTTCCCAATCAATCATGTATAGTGTTCTTCTTACAAACAACAATAAACCTTGGCTTGCCTTTACGGTGGTCATGTAATTGGTAGGTGTTTTCCAAGATATGTTTAAAGTGAAATAAACCACAATAAATGTATATGTGTTTATACAAATAAATATCTTGGATAACATTTATCTGTATCTGCTATTTTTACACCAATTTGATATACCAACCAAGGCTATTTTGGAGTTCAGTGCATTAATAAATACTGAATATTTCTATTTACTACATACTCATCATACAAATCAACTGTTGCCTCAAAACTTGTCGGAAAGTCGGCGACATAAAAAAAGAAAAGTAAAGGGCCCAGGACCGCCCTCGCGGTACCACAAACTTCACGTTCTCGTGAGACGGGCATTCGTGATCAATGAGAATAATTTGTGTGTGGTTGAAGAGAAAATTTTCAATCAATTTTATTACGAAAGGTTCTATTTAGAAAGTGCGTAATTAAATAATTCTGTTATGCAGGACTTCATCAAATTTCTTTCGAAAGGCAAAAATAAACTGCATGGGTTTCCGCTCTGGGGTTAGGGCTCCAATATAAATTTGTCAGTAATTCGAAAGGTTGGGTTTCACAAAAAGGAAGTCCACAAAATTTGTGCCGAGTTCAAAACAAAAAAAAAATGCCGGAAGCCATGGTTCTTTAAGCAAACATCCAACCATGCTCATATTGATTTTACGAATTCCTTATACAGCAGTGAAACGGTTGAGAAGTTTACACGCCGTTTTGTTATCTAACTGAGAGTTTTTAACTACTAATTATTTGTCATGATTGTCGTGCACTACTGCAGCACGCACCTTTGGGCGATGACCATACAATTACACACTAGTATAAACAAAACATTGATGTTGCAACCTGTTCATTTTTATATTACTAATATTATTTTTAGTGAATAAACAAAAGAAATGTGAGGCTATAATGTTCCTATAACCCAAGTACAGACCCTAAGTATAGGTGTTTAATATTTATTGCTGAGTTTAAGTAAATGAAGACATGGATGACTGCGATTATCCTTGCGCTTGTGCGAGCCTTTAACCATAAATCACGTGCAAAAACGAATCCCGATTCCCTATCATAGTTTCATTTTTTTAATATGTTAATCCTTATTTTCAGCAACGTGTATACGTACGTGAAATTGTGAGCAATTAAGTACTAATGTGGCATCTCATTTACCTTTGTCGAGCATTTGCGTGCTTCAATCAGACGCCATGCATGTACAAGCAAAAACGATTTCACAAATTAGATCTCTGAAGGTCACCGTGACCTCTGGATCCTATGCTACATAAAATGTGTGTAAAAAAGCAACAAAGAGAAACAGAGGTATAATAAATTGCAATGCCTGATAATATTTTCGTTATGTTCTCCCAAAATAACCTCCGGGGAATGAGAAAGATCCACCCTTGTGGAACACCAAGGGAACATCTACAGGCAGAAGTCAGGCGTTTGCATCGGTTCCTGCTTGGCCCCTGTTCTAAGCGAATTCTACATGTCATCGGTGGACTTGGCTGTGGAGAGGGAGCTCGGCGTTGAGGCGCCGGGAACCAAGGTATTTCGGTTCGTTGACGACTACCTCGTACTCCACACAGCCGGCACCACTTCCGCCTCCATCGAGCGGGTTTTCTCAACCCACTCTCAAGGCCTCAAGTTCACCAGTGAGGACCCTTCGGACGGGGAATTGCAGTTCCTCGATCTGCGCCTGCACACCAATCCCAATGGACTCTGCTGGGGTTTCCAGCAGCGGACCAAGAAGCCCGTTCTACCGTTCGGAAGCAACCACTCAAAAACTGTGAAGTCCGGAATTGTAAGATCCCTCCTTTCCTCATCCCGTACCAAATCTTGCTCCCACTTTTCTCAAACCAGCTTAACCGCCCAAATCTGTCGCCTCCGAAAGGCGGGCTATCCACGCGACCTCCTTGTGACATCCCTAAAGTCTCTAATCTCCCAGCCTCACCCCGACCGCGCCAGACCGCCTCGACCAAAAAAGTTCGCGGTAATACCTTACCACCACAGCACATCACATCGCCCGAGGGCAGCGGCCCGCCGGTATGATGTGGATGTGGCCTTATCATGCCGGTTCCGATTAGGCTCCATGTGCCGCCTCGTGAACGACCCCCAGCGCCGTTCACGAGCAGGGTGTGCAAAGAAACACAAAACACCCTTCATTTCCTGCGCAACTGGACGCGTGTACTCCATTCCCCTGTCGTGCGGCGCCGAGTATATCGGTCAAACGGGCCGCTGCGTGAATGACAGGCTGGGCGAGCACGACAGGGAAATAAAAAAAGGGGACATTGAGTCCCAGCATCCCTTTCTCCGCCATAGAGGCGCATGTTCTTCGTGTGAGCCCCGGTTTCACAACGCGCGGATCCTGGGCTCACATAGAGACCGCTACGGACGCGAGATAATTGAAGCTTACGCCATGCAGCAGGCATCTCAAAACATTTCGTCTCCCTCGCTTGTCCTTTCCGAGAGGGAGGCGGCTTATTTGCGCCCCCAACTTGCGGCCTTGACGCGGGCCCGGGGGGCCCTTGCTCCCTGACAGTGCGGTGATGCGGCGCCGCTCTGTGTCTCGAGATGACCCCTCTTCTCCTTCCCCTCCTCCTAATCTTAACGGGCTAACAACTTCCCGACTTTCTCATGCCGACCCCCCTTCTTGTCCCACTGGGCTAACAATTCCTCGCTCCTCCGCTGCCCCGATTCTCTCTCCCCCTCTCCCTCCCTTGTTTCGCTTTCTCTTTCCTTCCCCCTTTTACTCCTTTCCCTCTTCCCTCTCCCTCCCTTCTGTCACTTGTCCTTTCCTTCCCCCCTTTTTTCTCTAGGTTCACCGATCTCGATGCCAACTTCTAATAAAGAACGCTACATGTTGTTGAAAGTCGAAAGATGTCCGTCCTTGTCCGTCCTTTCTGTTTATTCTTTCTGTATTAAGTCGGAATGAGAAAGGAGTGGGAAAGCTTTTCCCCAGTTTTGCAGCGACGCGCCGAATACCTGGCATAAAACCGGCAAGCCCAAAATGAACACAAGCTTACACCCACGTGAAGAAGTTTTAATTTCATCCTGATTGTGTGACGCAGCGATACGTTGTTCAAAATATAAGCTTGATATGGCGACTTCTATCATCATAAACATTAAAATTTACGCACCGCTAGTTTCTTCTGGTTTGCCTGCAATAACTGGATCATAAAAAAAGTACTGCCATTGCTTCCCTGCCTACTAAGTGGACACAGATGCTAACATGAAAGCGACCATACTTAGCAATATGAAGGGCTGATCGGTTTTAGTTGCCATGCCAACCTCCATTCCGGTTCCTTGAAATCTTCGAATTTTCGAAAGGGTCATTGCGAACCAGTCGCTCCAAGATCGCTATGAAGCATCATTATATTGAAAGCGTTCATCGTAAATATAAGCGTATTTGGTAAGGCGCACGCAATAAACCTATCACTCATGCTTACCTCCCCGGATACTTTACAATGGTATTATTGCTACTTCAAGACAGAAAAATTATTTTTCTATGACTCCAAGCATGAACGCTGCATGTGGTGAAGGTACGATGTACGCTTGTTTCACAGGTGTGTGGGTATAGAAATCTAGGTATATAAAAAAGAAAACGTTCTTGAAAGCGTCCCGCCACTAGAAAATTTAGGGGCGTTCACCAAGAATAAAGAAGTCCCGGAGAAACTCTGCATTATATCAAATAAAATGGCGACCATAAGAAAATTTTAGAGTTATTTTCTCAAGATCCCGTGACTTTAGAGCTATTTCATAAATGTTTTTTATGCGATTTGGCTCTTAGAACGATAGTTTTCTAGCCGTGCTTTCAAGATTTTTAGTCTTCAATTGATATAACAAACTAATAAATACAAATATTAATATCTTAGATCTACTTGAAGCCGCTCTTGTTTTCCTTAATTCATATTTTTCACCTTTACATATCCGTCAATCACTCAGGTATACGCTTTTTCCGTGACAATGTTACTGCGGATTAAGATAACGCTTAGCTTTGCAAAGTCATATACTGAAATGAAACAAACGTTTTAATCCCACACAACCATTGCGAGGTCTTTATTTTCCTAGTAACGGTGTCACTACATTCTCCTCAGGCGAGAGTAGCATGCTTAGCTTGCACAACTAGCAATTTGCATCGTAGATGTAGTACTTCTGCATTGTGCCGCAAAGAAGGTCAAAAATAAAATCACAGCAGGTGGTGTTCTTGTTCAACACAGACTCGGGCACAAGTAAAGCACACGCTGTATCTGCAAGATTCAAGTAGCTTAGAAAATTGCGCCTATCAATACATTCCACAAGTAAAAGGGGTCTACAAAACGTTTTTCGCGTCTGACACTGATTACAGTTTAGGACAGGGTTGCATGGTTCATATAATTTATGAGTTTTAAAGGCTGACGTACAATCTAAATTCTTCCGAACTATACAACCTTCCCCTCCTTCTTTTCACTGACGGCATCGATTCCTAGCGGAAGGTAGGTGTTATATCGGTATCATGTAAGTGAGAAACGTATATCAAGTCATACTTATTTGTACCATGATGTGTGCATTTTTGACTGACGTCAATGGGCTACCTCACCTGTTCCATTCCTATAATTTCTCACTGCTGTGTATTGGGCCTTTTTTGGATTAAGGACACCAGCCCAGTGCATCTAAAAAAATGTACTCTGCCGGAAATGTGTCCCGGGCTTTTATTTACGACAACACAGAAACAAAAACAAAAAAAAAATAGTTTTGCGGCCCATAATCTTGACTCAAAGTTTTGAAATAATCACAAGTTTATAGGAAAAAAAATTGAGTAATGAGAAGGTTCAAGCCAGCATCTGTGAAACTCGTAACCCTTCGTCAGCCTTTAGGAGATTGCGAGTTGAAAATAGCACACAAAATATATATTTAATCTTCAAAGCTTTCACTTATTTTAAGGCAGTGTTCCTTACCTTTTAGCGGAGGCTTTCTATAGGGATCACATAATTTTTCTTAACTACCACTGAGATCGAAAAGACGTTGAGTAAAACCTTAGAAAAACAAGCATAAAATTTAACACAAAAGCACAAATTTAAAAAAAAAATAACTGCAACTGTTGACAGTTTTTTCGCATATTTTTACTCTGGGAATTTAAAGGGATGCTGAACCGAAATCTGGATTCCACAAAACACGTGGCAAAAGCGTGCAACGGAATGCCACAAACACCAAAACATCACTCATACCGCAATATTTCGAACGGATGACCGTATTTTTCAAGAAAAGGAGGCGCATTTGACAGAAATGTCACGTCATGTTTCTCCGAGAAGGAGAGGGAACGGCCTCGTGTCTTCTCCACCTCGCGGCCTTGAAGGAACGACGCGAAGAGAGGAAAAAAGGAGGAAAAAACAAGGTATCTTCACGTCACGCGCCTCGTCGGCCTGGTTCAATCTCGACCTCTTTTTCCAAAAATACGGCCGTCCATTTGAGATATCGCCTTACGAGTAGTGTTGTAGGGATTGTAGCGTCCCGCCTAAATCTCCTCCATTGTTTTTTTCTGAAATCCGAATTTCGGTTCACCATTCCTTTAAGACACACAAGTTGCACTTTTCGATATGAAAGAGTTCTTACTGCTGATGTAGGTGTTCCTAAGAACGAAGCACTGCTCACACTCCGCATATGCGCCATATACCTCCACCGATGTACTTCCTGCAAATATAGAAGGAAATATTGCGCCAGTTGAGTGGGAGCTATCCGGCATATTCCTGTCTTATACAAAAAATAATTGCAAAAACCGGACACACAAACAACGTCAGAAGATAAATAGCGTATTCAATTTGATAAAATACTGGTCTTTTATGACTTTATAGATCGGATATTTTGGTCAGTTCAAGTGCCTAATAAAAAGTATTTTTTTATTATCTCCACAGTGCTAAGTAAACAAACTTACCTAACTTTACATTTGCTCAATTAGGTAAAACACATTTAAAATATTTTGAAGAAATTCGGGATTCGGACACTTCAGTCATACATACCACCTGTAGGAGTAAGGCTCAACATGTTCTTGCCCGTGTATCCAGGGGACGACTCAAGTATCGTGCTTGCCATACTGGGTAAAAAGTGCGAGACGAAACTATTAGAAATCAAAATATATACTTCGCAGAAAAAAATGCATACTCTTTTGAGTTTCTAAAGCTAAGGTACCTGTTGCCACCGTGGGCAGAGTGCACCTTAATAAAATTATACATGTATCCATGCCAGACGGCACAAATACTTCTTGCTCCCAAGATATTGAACTTGATTTATGGAGTGTATCTCACCCGTATTTGCATTAGAGAAAATAGCAGCGCAGCTGGCTTCTCCGAGGATGCGGACGCGTTTCTTGGGAGAATCCGCCGAAATTCCCGCTGTTCGATTTTGAAACCTCGACCGCTTCCACCACACGGCATGAACGATTTTACCATTTTAACTCAGTGAAGGTACGCTCCGCTTTCGGCGCTGAAGGGCTTCCATAGGAGCTCCACAATATTTTTTCATGTCACAGGCGTAAAAATTGTGGAAATAAGTTTTTGAGTCTGCACTTTCGCCACCTTTCTCTCAGCGTGGGCGAATAATATTTTTGATAAAGAAGCAAACCCCGCATCACCGAACGCGTGGAAGCCTATAATTTAGCTGAACGCTGATTATCAAATGCTAACATGCTGTTTGTCAAGCGAATCCGAGAGGGCACGCCGTATATTGCAGGCTCATCTCAAACATATGCTGTGTTCCTGGACGGAATATATTCCCGTTAATATTACTGATGCACGATTTGTTCGCGTATGCAATATCTCAAGGCCTTCGTGGTGTTCATATATCACTAGACCAATCTAAAGCTTTAGATCGTGTGCGGCATCAGTATCTTTTTGCGTAGCTCGACGGGTTTGGCTTCCCCTAGTTCGTACAATTGGTGTAAACCTTGTACACTTATACGCGTGTTGGATTGATTGCTAAAGGGCAACTCCTGTTCATACTTTCAATTTTAGAATTTCGACTGTTTTTAGTGCAGTCGGCGTCCCTGAATAGCAAGGTGTAATTTTTTACTCGTTATTGTGCGTAGTTTTAAAGATATCGAAGCCTCAAAGTTTTGTTTGGGGCGCGGCCAACAAAATCGAAACTAGCCGCTCGAGGCCCCGGCAACACTGGAAATCAGCCGCCATGTGAACGTGACGTCAGGATCGTTCTCGTTTAATGAGTTCGCAGGCCGAGCGGCACCTACCTCTGTTGCGCTAGCCGTCTGAAGATAGGAGGTAAGCTGATTTTGTTTTAATTCTGTATACGTGGTAGTTATCCAGCATATCTGGCAAGAGATAGTGCGTATACACAAAAGCTAGCGACTGGAAAACCCGTGAACTCGTACGCTCCCGTACTCCGCGTATGTTGCCGTGTGTGCGATCTTCCGTACTCGTCGCTAGGCCTAAATTGTAATCGGGGATCCGTGGATGAAGGGGCGTTGCTCTACGCCGCGCTGCCATTGGCGTACAGCCATTGTGGGCCCTCTCGCTTTTGCGCTGCTGGTCAGTCCCAGACACGAAGCTTTGAGGCTCCCCGGCGTGGGCCGAGGCGCTCGAACACGTGTGCTGGGCTGTACACGTCTGTTTTTTGTTCTTTTTTTCCTCGGGCGCGTAAAAGCCTAAGTCCAAAGTCCACTCGTCGAACAGCGTTCACCCAAACCTTCTCTAATTTCCGGTCGGTTGGAAACTTGTGAAAAAGCACCTCTGTGTTGCGCAGCGGGTTGTTTGAGCAGCCCACAGCGCTACAAGTTGTACTTGGCATCATTCGAGAAACAGCTGGGCAGTCTTGGGTGCACCGACCTGCTTGCTAAAACGAGTCTTGGAGTCCTCACAAGCAAATAAACAAAAGGCTATACCGAAGCTACACGGGCTACAGATAAATGCAACGGCTAAACACGCCAATCACACGCCGAAGTAGGGGTGGTTGCGGCTCAAAGAAGCGCACTGCGCGCAACTCCCAGACTGGAGGAAAAAAAGAGAACGATACTGACGTCACGGCCCAATGTTGTTTTAGCAATCGGCAAAACGCTGGCCGCCCGCTAAGGAGCAGCGGCTCGCGGCGGGTCGCATTTTTATTAACGGTATTAGTTGAGAATGCGGCGTCCCACGGACGTAATATTTTGGCTGGTGTCGTATTGTGTGTCAGTACAGCCGTACCAGTAATTTAATTAATTTTGAGTTTTGGGCGGAGTTGCCATTTAGTGGGTAACTAAATCTCGAATTTATTTTGTTGGAGTTTTCTACAGTGCTGGCCTTTGTCGCCCCTTCGTGCTAAGTTTATTGTTTCGTGGTGCAAGAACTAAATTCAAACTGGCTATCTTCGAAGCGCCGCCGAATCTTGCCTACGCTGTGTCGGGCGCGCCTCTCCCCACACGGCGAACCTCGACCCAATGAAAATATTTGAGATTACACGAGGTTTCCCGCTCTTCGGAAATCAGGTGGTGTCCGTCTCAGCATAGGCTGACGATGTTTAACGTTTTCTACGGGACCCCAACAGTGTTTTCGCAATGACTAAGAGCTTTGAATATTATGCCCGTCTTTTGGGGGCACGGCTTAATGTTTTGAATTGCAAAGAGCTTTGAGAATTTTTAAGATTTTTTGCTTGGCGGGGATTCCTTTCGTTTTAGAAACACGAATGATTTCTGGATTGAGCATGAATGACCGCCATAATGGAGCGGGCAGTTATATCAAAAATAGGGCAACAGGTATCTGGCTTCAAGATTCAACTTGTCTTCTTGTGGCAGAGTCTACCTAATCATATCAGTGTTCACCGCCATGTAGCTTCCCTCAAGACCCTCCCCACGGCACCCTTCCCCCTCCTCCTCAAGAACTGCGCTCTAATATCGCACTACAGAGAATCGTAAACGTCCTTGCTTTTTTTCTGTTCTTATGGTTTATGTAAGAAATATTGTTTGTTGTAGCTTTGAGTTACGCACTTTCAGTGATGCATTTTTCTTGCTGCATAAGTTTTGGTACAAGCACCCCTTCCCATAATACATTGTCACGTCAAAGCTTATTTTTAAGTCGTTTGTTCTGTCACGCTGCGTTCTAAGCAATATCCAATTAATTATTCTAGTAGGGAACATCGAGGCAGAGTTAGAAGATCGGAAATCAAGGGGTCTATAAAATGACAAAGCTTCGGCGTTCTTTCTTTTGTAACTCAATACGCTCAGGTATAGTAGAGAAAAAAAAACCTGCGTTTGTATCTGTTGGCGTTAAAACTTTGTCTTCACAAATCAGGGAAAGCTTCCCTAATTCAGTTTGTGCCCTCAGTTATAGGGCCAGGGTATAATCGTCCCGATATGTTGTCAAAACAAACAGAATGCGTTAATTAACTATTTATTAATGAAAATAAATATATGGCTTCAAACTAAACAAACTTGCTGAGCCTCATTGAAATCCACTATATCATTAAATTTTAGAAAAAACTTCGAACGCGAAGAGAGAACGATAATTCGCAAGCGAGCTGCCACTCCTCGAATAGGCGCAAGGCTGGCGGGGGCGGGGGGGGGGGGGGGTACTAAATTCTAGATAAACGACGGAATAACTGCACCGGCGTTTATTCACTTCACCAGAGTTGCGCATCTTGGTAATTTTTTTAACATACGACCGCGCTTTGCACACGATCCAAGTCTTTCCAGAAGTTACAAATTCAGAGTTTTCGATGACGCCCAGTAAGGTTCTAATAGGAAAAATGTGATCATCATTCGATAACTAAAAACATAATCAGCGCATATTAATTAACTAATAAAGTTATTGTGACGAATAACCCCTATAATATGTCCCGTTCTGCTAGCTTCACTGCATAAACAAATTAGCGTGGCTTCCCGATCTTTTTTTTTTTATTTCCGAAAGTTTTTTAACATCTTGCATATTTTGCGTTGCAATTACTTTGGGTTAGTGTTTGATAGAATGCATTAAAATACACAATTATTTTAGAAGGCTTCCGTTTAAACAAAACAGAGAAAAAAGATAATATCTTCAACTATTACGATTTTTAAAGCATGCAATCCTTTCTAATGGAGCCCCCCTCAACTCCAAATCCCAAAACTTTATCTCTCCGTCCGTCTCAGTTTTCGTCAATGTGTCCATTCATTTCCCGCTAAAATTAGCGGGGCAAATTGACGTTACGTGACCTAAACACCAATTCACTTTCCTCGCTAAAATTAGTGGAAATTTGATGTCCCGAGTCCTGCCACGAAACTTATATACCAATTTAGCTTAATATTTAATTTCGTCGGGGAAACTGATGTCATTTTATTTGGCGTGCCGTGATCTATAAACTAATATAGTTTCGCAGCTAGGTCTAGCAGGTAAGGTAAAGTCACGTGACCTATACGCCAATTCAATTTCCACGCTAAATTTAGCGGGAAATCGATGTCAAGTTACCTGATTTCACGTTACCACACTGATTCGGTTTTGAAGCTTCATAAAGCAAAAAAAGCTTTACGTCACGTGACCAGGTATCACGTGTCCTATGCAACGATTCAGTTCGTACGGTTAATTCGGCGGGGAATTTGATATAACGTGATTTTGCACCAAGTAGGTTTCCCTGCTAAATTCAGCGTGAAAATTGACGTCACGTGGCTTGATGTCATAGATATCAACAAAAAATCACTTTCCCCAGAAAATACGGCAGGGAAATTGATGGCACAGGACGCATGCATCAAATTTGTTTCCCCATTGAATTGCTTTAATCGAAGTTTTTCACTCCCCGAAACGATGTATTCAAGTTCATTACCCACAAGGACATTCCTACGATTGTGTTTTCTGGGGTAAAGTGCGAAAAATACTTAAACATGCTTACAATATACTAAGAAACTTCACAAATATACATAGGCGAAGTTTAGACAGACGGAAGAAAAATAGACATTGTCATTGGTGGTTCTACTAAGAACACTATAACGAATCAAACAGAGAATAAAAAATAATCGCGGTAGTGGAGTGGACTTCGTGCAAAATACAGATACCTTGAACACAATTTTAACGTGTAAAGGATTGTTCGCACATACATATAAACTATTTTAAATAGGGGAAAGGAAACTAGACATCGATATGCATAAAATATGCTTAATGTCTTCTTTAAAAAAAATAATGGTTGCTCCTAGAATTATTTCCTGTGTGTACCATAAAACTTTGGAAATATAGGTCGCTATCAATTTTGTATTAATAAGATTAATATTTCAATTGTTTTTACTCCCTTTATTAAAGTTTCGAAATTTTATGTCCATTCCCCTATTACTGTATTTCCGATAATAAAAATGCAAGTGGAGATATTCGTTTTCAAATATGTTTTTAAAATACGTAAATTATTCTTATTTTATTGCTTAGCATATTTCAATATTATATTGAAATATGTAACGTATTCGACCATCGTGAAACTATTCGGTATTGTTTTACATATGATAGCATTATGACTGAATCAACCCCTGCTACCCTATGCAACCTGAAAGTTAGGTACAAGCTTTAATTTACGAAAAGAAAATCCATAGTAACCTATTGCTAACGGAAGGACTACCAGATATGGACACCCTACAAAGAGCCAAAGAGTCCCATATTTTTACGCAACCTTGAAATCACTTTGAAATTGTTTCTGCGCGGCTGATTTACTTTTTTTAGCTTGTCCAGCTTCAAAAGATGAGATGTGATGGCTGTAACAATCTTGCTGCTTATACAAACGAAATATGTTGTAGTAATAGGTTTTGCTTACCCAGACTGGTTTCCAAAATCGAAACGAAGAGGATAGGCGCCATTTACGGGTGGTCCGCTTTCTGTGTATTTAATGCACTTCTCTGATCCACCAAAGACTGGGTCAGACTCATAATTTCTGTAGATCGTGTACCAACTCCCTTGAAGCGGAAAGCACTAGAACGGAAATAAGTTCGACCAACTTTGTTAACTTTAAAATCAACAGAAGCAATCATCCATCTATACTCTGGAAAGGAACGATATAGTCCGTTGCAACTCCAGAAGGTAGGGCGAGGGTAAGACGGGTCAGGGAGGAGGAAGCAGAAGGAACGCTAAAGAAAGAAGGGACGTTCCCCCTCTCTTCTCCAGCGTTCCGTCTGCTTCCCCCTCCTCGACCCGTCTTACCCTCGCCCTACCTTCTTGAGTTTCAATGGAATAGAGTGAGTATATATGCAAGTCATACTTTTAAGAATCATTTAATGCTACATTACAGCTTAACACATAAAGCGCTGTGTGTTTCCAAGGTATATTCACTTGGCCTAGATCCTTGGGGTTTTAATGCACATAAGTCCAACAAACTCTAATATTCCTTTTTGTAATCAAGGCACTCAGGTTGACATCTCAAAGCACCGTATGTACTTTTTCTGGCTGGGAGGTCAGTATAGCGTGCATCAGAGAAGAAATACTGATTAACAAATGGCGATTGATGCGAAGTACGATATCATTTCTTTTACATTTTCTTCCCCAGACTTTTTATTTGATTACGTACCGCAAGTGATCTTCTTTTCCTGACACCCGATGCTCTTCGTTTCATATTCTTTAAAAAAACTCCTTCTCTCTAGAATCGTATACGTACATTTTAAATTTGTAATTACGACTATTGATCAACGGCAATACCAAAATTGAGGTTGTTATATTCTACAGGGTGTCTGAAGCGTCGAGGCTTGATTTGAAATGGGACGTTAAAATCGGCGCCTGCACGTAGCAATCTAGACTGTTCATCAAAGCTGTGTTGCAGAAATGGGTTTTACATTGAAAAATTACAAATTTGAAAAAATAGGGCCAAGAAACTTGTCAGGGTCAATGTCAGAAAGCGACACAGACGACCGGGTTGAGCGGCGGGGAGCGTTTGGCGTACGTATTGATAGATGGCGCTACCTCCTTGTTCCGGTCAAAGGTTCCGGTTTGCTTTCTAAAAAAAAATATCTGGAGTGCCCTCGCTGACCGTGGTATATTGAAATGATCCTAATATTTTTGTAATGTACCTTTGGTTTCAAAAGAAATGCGGGCGATTATAGCGAAACGTGAATAAAAATAAAGGAAAACGCGGTTGCATAACGACGGCGCTCTTTTTTCCGTCAGATCTCGTCTGCGTGTCGTCTGCTTTTTTTCACTGTTCGACTGCAACTTCCAACGCCGCTCCCGACGCCATTTCTCAATACGTGCACCAAACGGGCACCGCCACTCGACTCGGTCGTCTGCATCGCTGTCCGCGGTGGCCCTGGCGAATGTTTTGGGCCCATTTTGTAGTAAAAGGGGGCCGCGCCTTGGAATTTTATAGGAGAAAACCACCTGTGAAATACATTTTTGACGAAAAGTTTAGATTGCTACGTGCAGGTGCTGTTTTTTGCGGCCCATTTTATATGGAGTCTCGGAATTTCAGACAGCCTCTAAAGTTCAAATTTAATTAGTCCATTTTATTAAACTATAAGAAGTAATGTGCTATTTGAAATATCTACTAAATGTTTTTCAGTTCAAATATGTAGACAATTATTAAATTAATTTTTCACTCTCGAACAATCATTCCCAAATATGATACCTTAGATTTCTATGACTTACTTGCGACTTGATTTAAAAAAAAAAATTGCATTTAAAAGACAATTTCCAAATTCATTACTTTTGTGCAATTTCCGTCATAAGAGATACAAAAATTTCATAACGATCTTTATCTTCAAAGTCCAAATACTGAATGGAATTCAGAGTTCAAGAGAGAATTTTTCAGTTGTTTGGTAGATGTTAAACAGTCGTTGCGTGTGTAAAAAACCTAAATTTGATCAATTTTGGAGAAAGTGAATTGGTGTGTCACTTGACCTGGGAGGGAGAAGGTGTAGGGTTAGGTGAGGGGAGGGGGGACGGAACTGTGGGAGAGGGAGGAAGAAAACAGGAAGGGAATGGGGAATGGAGTGGAAGAAAAGGCAAATAAGGAGGGTGAGAGGGATTGAGAGACAGAAAAAAAGGAAAAGACGAGAGAGGGAATGTGTGTGCTGCGTTACACATAAAAAGTTAAGTACAAATCTAGCATGTTGGTAGCAATATCCGTCATAAGGAACATAACACAGGGTGTCCGTCTTCTTCTCTTCGTTACCTTCCTGATGTTGGACATAGAAGGGGTTTTCAAAAACTCGAGCAAAAGCGCTCCTGCCAAACCTAGGCATCGTACGAAAAAAAAAAAACATCTTTATGCCGTAGTGGTCTGTGTCAGCTGGTTTATCAGGGAAGTTTATTCGATTTTAGTATATTTGGGAAAATAATAAATTTGGAGTAATTAAATTGTTAATTACTGATTTTAAAGGCATGATTTCGATTAGTATCGTGGTGGGCATCATCGAAAGCTACTAAATACTACATTACAGTAATATAAGGAGCCCGCAGCGTTTTCCGGCGTTCCAAAAAAAATTAACAATTAGGGACGCCTTTTTGGGTCTCTGTTTCATATCGGAGCGGATCTCTGCATGGACAGTCACGCCTATCGTATTTAAAACGCGCGACGGTCTTGCGCCGCCAAGTATTGCGAGTCATGGTGCGCCTTCTCACTGGCACCGATGTCATATAGGCAAATCTGATGTGACAGCCAGGAGTTTTTCTTATCAGCCTCTCATATGTGCGATGCATGGTGGCTCACGCACGTTGCGCGTTCTAGCTGCAGGGAGCGGGATTTCTGGCGCGGAGATGTGCACCGATGGGAGAGCGAAACACAAAAATTAAATCCAAGTTCAGCTTTTTTTTTTTTTGGAGCGCCATAAAATGCTGCGTTTTCATTATATCTCTGTAACGTGGGTTTATTTAGTAGTTTTGGAAGATGCCCAACAACATTATAAGTGAAACCATGCCTTTAATATCACCACTTAACAATTTAAGTACTCAAAATAAATAACTACTCATTTATATTGAAAGTTAATCATTTTCCTTAATGGCCCTTTGACAAAGACCCTTACGGTATAAACGTTTTTTTGTGTGTGTGCGATACGTAGTTTTTGAAGGAGCGATTTGGTCCGTGTTTCGAGAAACGCCCTGTATTTCTTTGCTAAATTTAATGAGAAAACCGAATTTCTGTCACTTGAGCAGCAGGGCGCACCTTAACAGATTTGGGACGGGATAAGAAGAGAGACGAAAGGGAAAGTGAAAGGAAGGGGAGAGGAAGAGGAGTGAGGGGAGGAAAGCAGATGATGAGAACAACTTTCAACGGTATCGGCTAAGGAGAGAAAGCGAGGGGAAAGGGTGAAGAGGGATGAGGAGCTGGGATTGACATGTTACGTGATGTATGTTTTGTCTCTAAATTTTGCTTGCAAACTGAATTGTTGTATAGGTCACGTAAAATCACGTTACGTGACGTCGATTTCCCTTGCTAAATATAGCTGGGAAATTTAAATTGAGTATTGGCAACGTGATGTTAGTTTCACCTTTAAATTCAACGGGAGAGCTTGCTTAGGTTTTGGACACACAATGTGAATTATCCGGCTAAACTTAGCGGGGAAAGTCAGTTGACGTGTAGGCATGCCGTTACGTAAATTTTTACACTTTGTGTACAGGTCAAGTGACGTAAGATTCCCCGCTAAATTTAGCGAAATATGCACGGACGGACGGAAGGACGGACAACATTTCGTGACTGAAGGTTCCGATAAAAGGTATTTCATGCTTTGAAGAAGTCGGTAGTGACCCCTGCCTTCCTAGTCCTCTAATACATAAATTTCAGCATATAGGAAGTGACCGTTTTAATATGTTTAGAATATTACATGGTCTTCTATAGCATGTCACGTGGATCAATATACTATATACAAAAGAACAGGCCAGGCGACGTAGGGTCACGTGACGTTAATTTTCGCGCTAAATATAGCGGGTAAAGAAAATCGGTGTATAGGTCACATGACCACATGACTCGTGATATCAATTTTTTCGCCATGTTTGACGGGGAAACCGAACTGGTTTGTAGAGGCGTTGGTTGTTTAGGACAGGAGAAATTGTGCGACCGATTCCGAGCCCAAGTGAAATCTTTATGGGTCAGACGCACCAACTGCTCAACTTAGGAGCCAAGTACAAGCTTGGAATGTGCCGGCTGCCATCCAGGCTCCTTCAGGACAAGATGTATCTTCATGCAAAGAGAAAAAAAAATACTGGCCATTTATCAAAATATATAAATAAATAAATAAATATATATATATATATATATATATATATATATATATATATATATATATATATATATATATGAAGAGAACTTCCTGACTTTGGCAAAATGCGGAGTGAACTGAAAGCGTCACTTCGCAAACACTTAGGGTTAAGCTTAGCCCAATTAAAAGGTGAAAAAAAAATCTTCCCGACCTCTTCTCGTTGGGCGCGGTCTGCTGGCGTCCCAACGACTGGCCCCTCGGGAAAAGGAAAAGCCTTATATAGGCCACTCATTTGGGGCGAAGACATAACTCAACAAAAAGGAAAGGAAAACAAAAATCCTACGAACATTAAAAGTTATCACAAAGAAAACTACTCGTAACACCAACCGAGAGACCAGCTATGCCCTGCCCGCCATTACTAAGTAACGAAAAAGAACCTCTCCTCTCAGCGGTTGTTTACAATTTTGCGCAGCCAGACAAAGGAGATACTTGTGAAAGGGACGATGAGCGTAGCCAGAATGAGGTAATTTAAACGGTAGAAAAATCGAAAAAGTACGGTCAAGTAAAGGAAACTAAAAATAGTGACAGCAATACTATTAAAACATAAAAAACACTGCACATTGCAAAAAAATACCAAAACAAGTATCATGGTAAGCAGAAATTAAGCATTGTATTGGAACAAACAGACAGAACTGAGTCCTGTCCGGGTTCCTCAGTCTCTTCAACCTTCAATTAAACTTGGCTATAATCTTCAGTTATCCCAATATACATTTACATTTCATCATCGGAAATCCGACATAGTATCCACCAACATATGGGGATGACGGGAACTAAAATACCCAGGCAGTTATTTTCCAGACACCAATCCAAATATCCCAACCGGAACCGACCCAACCTAACAATACCTGATGCAAGGGAAGAGGAGAGGACGGAGAACAGCGGATGTGGAGACAAGAGATAAGAAGAGAAAATCGAAGATCGAAGAAGCAGAAGGGAAAAATGGTGTAAGACAGAGGGGAAGGGGGAGAACGCCGCTGATTGACAGGGACTGTTTTCTGGGCTGTGATGACCGTAAATTTTGAAAAAAATAAAAATAAATATTTTAAACAATTTTTTTTTTGGCTTTTTGGCTTTTGCCTTTTTTATCTATTTTTCGTTGGTTTAAATCTGTAATGCTAACACTAAAGCAGACAGAGACACTTCATTTTTCCATTTTCATTCGCCTCATCTCAACAATGTCCTCAACAATCAACGCGCTTACAAAATGACAACAGACGTGATAGCAGCGACCAGCACGAAGCCAGAATGAACCAACGAAACGTCCACAGTGAATCTTCCGGGCTCCCCTCTGCCTCTTCCCCAGCTATCGGCGCCTACACTGTTCATCTTCCACTTATCTGGGCGCAGCACTCGCAAGTAAAGCTCCTGCAATCGCTACAAGTGTATAGGTGTTTTCCATTGTGTTTTCCTCTTTATGTTCTAGTTGACAGTTATACCTTATATGTTCAAACTAGCTCAACTTAAGACGAACTACTCCGCTTACCCTTGACTTTTAGCACACGAAGCAAGTTTACGTCACCTAGAAACCAGTTCTGCTTGACTACTAAATTTGTAGGGAAAATTAATGTCAGGGGACTTCTAGGTCAATTTAATATTTCGGCTACGTAGGGCGAGAAAATTGACATCTTGTGACCTATACACCAATTCTGCTTCCCTGCGAACTTGTTTCAGAAAAATTAATAAACAGATGAGATCGTCTTCGTTCTCCAAAAAAGGGTTAATGTCATCTAGACATATTTAAATGATTGCTCCTTAAAGAAAAATTGAAGCAGTTTGGTATTTGAAAAAATACTTAAACCTTCTTCAATTTGGACTCGAAAATCAAGAACATCAAAATTATAATGCAGATAGATGCGCCAAGCAGCCGAAACAGCACTTAAAAAAAACACTTAAGCCTCTCCTTTCCTGCGCGTTTGGTAGTAGGAGTGAATCGTAACGTAATATGCAAAGATCTGCGGCCAGATTCATAAAAAAAAAAACGACTTACCTACGACAACTTAGCTACAAAGTTCGTAAGGTTACGGTCATTGTAAGATGAGGCGAGAGCGGTGTTCGCAAACGCGTTCTTAAGTTAAAGGAGGAAAGATACGACCTCTTTCGGAGAAACGAGGACTTCTGGCGCTATTGCTATGGCGACGGTGTCGTCGGCAACACGAACAACCAATCGGAGAACTCGGCATAGTTCGGAGCACGTAGATTTTTAATAACAAACACAGGTTGTGGGCACCCTGGCGGCTCCCAAGCCAAGTTGCCCGACTGCGAGGCTCAAGCCGAACTTTTCCCGCGTGGCGGCGACGTCGCGCCAGCCACGCGCACATCGGATGCGCCGCCTTGATAAGGCAGATCAGAGGCGGCGCACGGGGAGTCGCTGCCTGGACTCCGGCAGCGCCGGTAGCAATGTTAATCGTCTTGTCCATGTCCAATTAAATGTAGTTTCTTGTTGTTGAAACCGTTGGCTCCGTGTTATTCCTCCGGGTCGGGTATGCAGCAAGGCAAACCGACCACAAGGGTAACTACTCGTTGATAGTCAGCTCTGTGTATGTCCTTCCTGTTTGTGTGTAAATCTTCAGTGTTCAAGCTGTTTCTTATAAACACAGGCGGCCTTTCCACCACCGCTTTCTGGGGTCCGTGCCCGTGCAGTGATATATCGACGCTAACACGATAAGCACTACGTTGACTGCTACGAACTCGATCGCTACGAAGTCAACACAACTGTCATCGTTGGTAAAAGCCCTGTGCCAGATGTCATGCAGAGCGACATAGAAAGAAACAAACCACCGCGGCGTTTTTCGCGGCCTCGGAAGCGCAGGAGCGACGCGACGTTAAAAAATATACGTTTGAACTATACGAATGTCAGTAAGAGCCACGCTAATACCTGTTCACTCTCGAAGCAGACGCGCGTGTTTGACCTAAGTGCTGGATTCGCTCTGTTAGAGCGCGTTTTGGTAAGCACTTCGGGGCCGATCTTTTACGATTGCAACTCGATACTGACGTAACACTCGGCAAAGAAATGTTGGACCGTCAACGCGTAGCTTCCACAAACTGTTATAACTCGACAGTGATTTAGCTTCGTGTCAGAATAAAAATTGCATACTTATAAAAAAGTGTACATACCATGTTGCGAAGGTAATCACTACGGCGTTTATTTGAGCTCTATATCACACAAAAGAATGAGAAAGAATCAATGAGAGTCCCTTTTCAACGACAGCGTTCGTCACCGCTGCCTCGGAAACCAAAGAGATCGAGCTAGATGACAAGGGGAATAGATTGATCTTTGAAATTTAGTTCCGCGATCAAACTATTCATACAGGAAGGGTCTGCAAGGGTCGCGCGAGCATATTCCATTCAGCAAGCCAGCCGGTCGTAGGCAGACGGTCTTGGCCAAGGATCGTCAAAGCAATGTTGCGCCGGAACAGGTCGGAGTGCCTGCTAGGCCTATATTCTGCCGAGTTCGCTTGGTGGGGGGGATCGTTGCCCAGGTTGCTTCTCTCGGGTGTTTGTGGATCCAGCGTTCATATTCGTCGTGTTAGATTTCATGCACGTTTCGCTTTTTTCTCGTTGCTTAAAGTCAGGACGCGCGAGAATAGCACGTAAAAAATAAAAAAAAGTCCGATGGTCGTCGCGATTAAGTAACTGAACGACGCTGTCGGACATATTTATTTGATCGTAAAAAGTGCGTAAGACATTTTCGGAGCTGTCGTTGGATTCTGTCGTAACCTGTGCAAAAGTTACGGCAATTTTGTTTTGAGAATACGGATCTTCTCTCAAATTTGTCGTATGGACTTCTTTCGTCGTAAGTTCGCGTTGAGAATCCGGCCTCTGAACATTTTCTCGACTTCTTAATGGGGTACTCACACCCCCAAAAATATATTTTTCCATGCGATTTTTTGTGGCGTCAGAAGACTACCCAATCAATATTTGCCTACAGCGCCATGTATTTCTTAATTAAGTAAAAAAAGAAAAAAAAACACACAACTTACCAAAAGCGAAACCGCAAGTGGAGTGGGGAGGAAGAAGAGTTGTAGAGGAGGAGAGTTGCCTGAAATCACGCGGAAATCACCCAACCGCGGTTTCTTTTATTATTTTCCTTTATTTTTTTTCGGTTGTTCGGATCGAGCAGACGAAAAACGCGCACGTCGCACGTCTCACGAAATACAGAAAGGTCAAGTACTTGGGGCTCGACGTTTGCGTGTTTTTCGAGTTTTTAGCAATTCGTGTTTGTAAAACGAGCGATGTGTTCAGCCAGGAGAAGGGGCGACGACTTGGCCACGTCTTCGAGCGAACCAGCTTGGTGATCGGTCGTATCGTACGGAGTAAATCCTTAATGCCTGATCAATAAAAGGTTTCTTTTGAAGCTAGACATATTCACCGGTGCCGCGAACGAAGGTCCTGAACAAGAGGTCCCACGTCCATCGTCCGCCGCCATCGCGTAGTCCGCTTCGTTGAACCGTCTAGCCCACGACCCTCGAGACACGACGCCATGTTGAGAATTACTCAAAGAATTCACAGAGTGCTTCCATTTTTCTCTGCAACTTTCTCTCTTTAAATCAACGTATTTGCGTCTTTTTAAGGTGACAAAAATCGGGTGTCATACTTTTTTTCTACTTTTATTATTGAGTGTGGCCCATCGATGACCCGAAACTTTGAATAAATTTGGTGGTTGGCCCTAAACCAAAGAGAACGGCACGTGGCCATGGAGTATAGAGTGAAATCAACTCAGAGCGGCCAGTTCTAGGTCGGAGGCTTTCGGGCAAAAAGAAAACGAATCGCCAGCCGCATTTTGTGCACCACGTGTCATATACAAATAAAAATCTTGGCAAGTGTCAGTACGCAGTTAGTCAATCTTTAAGCTTTACATCCGCTGTCAAAAACGCTGCACGCGTTCCTTGACACGCGGCCCGTGCAAGGCAGTTGAAGCCTCAGGGTATGATGCAGTGTGAAGGCGTCACCAAAAAAACAGTAACCAAATGCGTTACTCGTTACTTGCGAATAAAAGAAACCAGTTATTGTTACCCTTAATAAGTAGCACACGTTATGCTTGCTTTACATTTTTTTAAATTATAAAATACCACATTTTATTATTTGACGTTACAGGTATGCAATAGTGCCATATTTCAAGAAGCATTACGTCCATTCAGAAACCAAGAATATTTAACTGATCTGTTTTTACGGTTCCCCTTAAATTCTCACAAAAAAAACGCAAAAAACGCAAACTTTATAGGGCTTGGCGCCTTGAAACACGAAAGACATTTCAGTAATTCGTTTAAGTGTTTGGAAGTATATGTAACGAGTAACGTAACTACGTTACACGTTACTCAGAATAAGTAATGTAAGTGCATTACCCGTTACAGTTTTGAAAAGGTACAAGGTTACCGAAAAAAGTAACGCGTTAACGGTAACGCTATTGCTCGTTACGTGTAACCGCCAAAGCTGGTATGATGTCCCATCCAGTGTTTTGATTTCTGTTTTTCTCGCGTCTATGGATATGTTCAGGTCAAATGCTTTTAATATTCAAATTCACAGGACAAAAATGCGATAAAATTTACGTCTAAAGTTTTTTTCTTCCCAAGAACCTCTTCAGCTGTCTCTTATAGACTGATTTGCATACACTGTAGGAGTTTGAAGACAAACGTCTCAGAAAATATATGAAAATACACTGCGTTATCATCTCATAATTGTATTCCTGTTGTGCTAAAATCTATTTATACCGACCTTTGTAAAGTCCTGGTACTGCTCAAGATCCGGATTGAGCTCTGGCCATGACTGACTTCCACTTGAAAAAGTCAGGCATATCAGTCCAGTTACGGCAGACAATGCCAGTGCCATGATTGAAGTTGACATCATGACTTGCAATTTAGCTTTGTAAGACCGGTTTGATTGCGAGAGCGCATTCTGTTGGGTTTTATATTGTAACTTCTATAACCTCTACAACATATAACCTTCCCACGAAACAATTTTTAGTATTCGTTATTTTAAAGCACGAACAACAATTGGGTTCTATCATGTTATTACAATGAAGACGCGTGTTAGCGGATATTGCAAGTTCGCTCATTTCAAAAATATGAAACACACAGGAAACCGATGCAGCAAAACATTATCGAGTCACAACGGAAATTTAACTTGGCTACAATTTGCATTTCCTTGATTTTCCTCTTCTATTTGTTTAAACAAAATCGGGTCCTACTTTGTCATTGCGGTGAAACCGCGTCATAGCGGATATTGCAACTTCGCTCACTTAAAAAACACGAAGAACACAGGATACCTAAACAGCAAAATATTATCGAGTCCCGCCGGAAATTTTACTTGGCAACGTTTTGCTTTCCGTTGATTATCCACTTGTAGTTTATTTTTATTGTGATTTAAAATATATATATATATATAATACAATTCCATCAGAGAAGCCCCAAATTTAGGGGAGCGATATTTTAGAAATTTCGGAGTTTGATTTTCATATTTTTGCATAAATATTCGAGACTTGCGCATTCGGCACCCTAATGGCGATTGTGACTGCAATTATTTTAAAGTCCTAAACTAATAATAAAACGCCATAATTACTCTCTTTCACTAACATTCACTTATAGCGATCAAAAACATGGACTAGTGTACGATACTTAGTAATAAAAGAATGCCAAATGTTATTACTTCTAATTTTAATGCAGCTGTACTTAATATTGTTGCGCAGCACGTGCCCTTCCATATGTTCACACATTGTTATAATATCACCTTTGTTCTTGCTCATGTTTATTAGCCAGCTGTATAGACGTATGAACCCCACCAAAAATGTTTAAACATTTTTGGTTCCGTCGATACATGTGTCTGCATAAAACGTGATGACATGGTAGTTCTGTTTATTAAGATTTAGATGTAAAATACATTTATTTTAACTTCTCAGTCGGAGGTAAAAATAAATTAAAATCGGCTCTATAATAATCCACCCACCTCCCAAGCCAGGCAAGATCTCTCTACTCGCCGCTGTTGAAGAGCTTCGTCAAGAACACCTAAAGCTTTTAGAATCCGATAAGACGGGTGTGTTTGTTGCGTTAGAGGAAGGAGATTTTGGAGATAAGGTGAACGCCGCCCTTTCAAAGAATTTTCTCAAACTGAGATCGCGACCGTCTGGGACCCTCAGGTCAAGAGCTAAACACGTCTGCTCGTCTTTGAACCTGTCGTCCCTAAAAACCGCCATTAGTAGTCCAGCGAAGCAGTACCTTTCAGTTTTCTTCACTGCAAAAACATATAAGACTGGAGTTCCCCTCCGAAGTATTGTGTCGGAGAAGGGTTGTTGGCAGAAGCAGCTCCGGCTCTTTCTACAAAAGCATCTGTCCTGCATCCATCTCCCTCAACCCTTTAGAGTGTCTAACTCAATAGAACTCATCTCTGTCACCAGTTCCAAACATTTCTTCTCCTTGCCCCACTATATTTTTTCACTTGACATAGAACACGTGTATTTCAATCTAGATCCTACCGTTTTGCTTGCCTCGATCTCCGACACCATCTTTGAGCACGGAGCTGTGGATTTTCAGAATTCCTCCGGTGTCTCCGTTGCTGGATTCGTGAACCTGATTCATCTATATCTCCAGTCCACCTGAGTCGAACATGAGAGAGGCATTTACCGCCAAAAAAAGGGAGCTTGCATCGGTTCATGTCTCGCCCCTGTTCTCAGCGAATTATTCCTTTTATTCGTTGACAGAGCTATAAAAGCACAACTGGACATCTCCGCGCCTAGCTGCCATGTTTTCAGACATATAGGCGATTACCCAATCATTCATCCTGCTCGAACTTCTGCAGATAGCATTACAGCTGTTTTTTCCGCTTGTTCTTCAGGCCTTACATTCACGAAGAAAGAACCATCGAATGAAGGTCTTCAGTACCTAGATTTGCGGCTTCATGTCAGTGCCACTGGACTCTGCTGGGCCTTTCAACAAAGGTGTGCCAAACCTGTCCTACCGTTTTCCAGCGCCCATTCGAAGTCGGTAAAACACGGTATCATGAAATCGTTGTTTTCTTCATCCTTCACGAAGTCTTGCTGTCATCTTTCAGAAGATAGCTTCAAACTGTAGCACATAAGGCTCGTCAGGGCAAGGTTTCCCGTCGACCTTCTCCGATCTGTAATGAAAAGAATGATTCGTGGGCCTGATCGCCAGTCACCAGCCACAAAAACGAATGCCCGATTCGCCGTCATTCCTTACGTACACAGTTCAGCCCACCGGATAAAATCCATTGCCTCAAAGTTCGACACGAATATTGTCTTCTCGTGCCACATGCGTCTTAAACAGCTCTATCAACAAGTGAACAACAACCGGATTCGGATTGGCTGCACTGTCAAACACGAAAAGAAATTCATTCCATGCAAAGAGAAGAACGTTTACTGCATCCCCTTGAGTTGCGGCCATCAATACATAGGACAGACTGGCAGATGCACCAATCACAGACTCCGCGAACATCACAACGAAGTTTCTAAGGCCTCTTCAGATTCTTATCATCCCATTGTCACACATACCCGTTCGTGTTTGCGTTGTCATCCCCTCTTTGATGGCACAAAAATCCTGGGGGGCATGACAGCAGATTCGGCAGGGAAATCATAGAATCATTCGCCATTACAACAGCAAAAAACAACGTGTCAAACCCTTCCGTCCTGCTAACGAAAACTGAGGTTGAATTTTTAAAATCCGAGGTAACCCTACCACCCTGACTTGCACTTCACTTTCCTTCTCTCCCCCTTCTCTCCCCTACTCCTGCTGGGTATAGTCGGCTGCTCGCTGTTGAAAGTTTACTCGTCTGTTGCTAGTTGAAAGATTTGGTTGTGTTGTCCCCGTTTTAATTGATTTATTCTTTCTTCATCCACGACTTAAACCAACACGCTCTTCTCCCAAGAATACATTGTGCCATCGCCTCATGTAATATTTTCTAAAAGTTGAAATTTCCAGCCTATTTTTATACAATATAAACAAGCATTCAGGTCCTAACATTCAAACAACCTTTCGGTCAAGAAAAATGCGGTAGAGCGTGAAACATTCACGGTGAAAAGAAAAGTGTGGTACAACTGGAAACGTACTCAATCATAAGAAAGGGTTGTACTTGCTTATGATAATTTCAAAAATTAAAAATAATCCTAGTGATATTTTTATGGAAAATAAATCACTACTAGAGACAATGTCTTTGCATCCACCAGTACACATTTAATCAGACAGTCGGGAAGGGAACTACAAAGTGCATGCTAATTAATAATCAGGTATGCAGATTGAAATGAATTGAAAATATATCAGACTAGATTTAGGTATTGAAATAAGTAAAAAATAAATATTTGTAGTGGTAGCTAAATTTAAATCCACCTCTACAAATGTATCCAGGCTGTCCGACCTACCAACTAAAGTCCTCCAACTTCCCCTTGTGAACCTAGAAGGAATATTAAAAAGCTAAGCAAAAACATATTCTGCACTTTTTCTAAGTGCAAACATGACGTATTTGTGCTAAGCCGAGGGATATTTTCAGTAAACATCAGACGCCAACCCATTTCACTCTGCTTGATTGAATTAAGACAATATATATTATTGCACCTTCTTAAGATATCTTCGGAATATTTACAACGGCGTTGCTTTGCCTCAATACCACAACCGTACTTCGGGTGCTCTTCGCCCTGATTATTGCCATACAATCTATCCAGAGTATTTGCTTCGCTGCAAATTGCTTTATAGGTTTCGATTTTGTAACCTAAAGTGTTCGTGGGACTCTCAGCCATTACCTTACGCTCAAAAGAGGCGTTCATTACAGCCTCTTTTCGAGAGCTCGACGGCAGCTTCCCTCGCGACTGGCTCGTAGGGGTGAAAGATACCTCTCTGGCACGAGTGCTGAGATATGACAAAGAGACAGCAGCAGCATTCAGGTATTTCAGAAGCGGATTCTCAGGGAAGCACCTGCAGAAGGACAAAAGGAAAACACTGTACTAGGACACCCTAGACATGTTATTCCCACCTCTACTTTACCGCTCATGTGTGGGAGACGCAGCCATTTCGACGGACGTGTTTCACCGGGTCCGCAAATACCCCGTGAAAATCGCAATGAAAAATGTCTTTGTGCGTTTTCATTTTGGTCGTTGCCCGTAAGGACCTGGTTGGTGAAAAATGGTAGTTTGAGCCATGGTCAACGAACTGTCCTCTCTGTCCTTTCCCCGAAACTTTGGATCATGATTCCTTATACTACACGAACGCGGAGTTGTTTTGGGCTGAGCTGAGAGCGGAACTGTGCATTGAATTACATCTGCGTTGGGAGCAGGCGAAGTTTCTAGAGTTAGAGAAGTATCCTTCGGTCACGGCGTGGGAGATTATTACTTTTTTAGGACTATGGACTCTTTGGCGGTCATGGACGGACCTCCTGGACATGGTAGAGGGCGACAAATTAGCCTGATGTCATTTTGTGGAGGGTTTTGAATTTGTGACTTTACTGACAAAGGAGGCAGCAGAGCAGGGACTGAAATGCTGGGAAGGGCTGTCCACACGACTGCAGAGACGAAGCGGAAACAGCTAATGACACATGTTTACGGCTACTCAATTTGCGAAGGCACTGAAGAGGACACAGCCGGGTGTGCTAGCGCGCATTAAAGATCGATCTTTCGAACTTTAAGTAATTTTCTAATGTGGTATAGACCTTCCTTCTGTGATGCTACTATGTAAACGTTTGTAAATCAATGTTCTTGTTAAAAAAAATTAGCGTTGCTTAGTAAATCAGTAAAAGTAGCTTAGTAAAAGTAGAACGTGGCCTTGAACGGCACGTGAGACGTCTGAGCTATTAACTGTGGCCGTTGAGAAGGTGGAAGAAGAAAAAATCAGCGAAGTGATTGCACACAG